AGGGGCTGAACACGCGAGGTGCGCCGAGGCGGAGGGAGCAGCAGCAACCGGAGGAGAAGAGCCGAGCAGCCGCCGGAACAGCCGAGCGACCCCGGGGCCGATTATTACCCAGTTTTCCGTCGGGGAGACAGGGCAGGGGGGTGGGCTGGGGCTCGGGTACAGAAGAATGAGAGAGCCCTCTTATCGGAGGGGGCGAAAACATGAACGGGGCCGTGTACATTTCGTTTTTCCAGGGCCAACTGGAGTCCGTGCTGGAGCAGGTCGTTCAGCTCGCCGTCCAGGAAATAAGCAAGACGGTGGGCTCGAGCCTCAACACGCTGCTGCTGGAGACGGCCGTGAAGGAGCAAGAAAACCGCCGGCTCCGCCTCCAGCTGCAGAACCGGGAGAACCGGGGCCGAGCCAACGCCAACACCGCGGACGGTGGAGGAGGTTCTCCGGTGGCTGGTAAGAACAAGGCGGCGGGGAAGGCGACGACGACGGCGGGGGACGAGAGGGCGGACGGCGGCAGAACAAAGCCCGAGTATAAGCCCCCTCCCGGAGGGCAGGGCACCGAGCACGGCCTGCCCACCGACACACGCCGCCTGGAGCAGAGAGGACGAGTCGTGGGTAGGCAGCCGTTACACAACACACACACACACGCATATTCACGCACAGACACGCAAACAAGCAGTTGTCCAGGAGTACTCCTCCCTCAGAGAGCCTCCAACAGCACGCTGCTGCCGGTTGCGTAACGGAGCAAGGCCTCTCAGGGTTTATGGGAGAAAGAGAGAAAGTGAGGCCTGCAGGTGATAAAATATATAAAATATATGTTCAGGAGGACAAAGAAGCCTCAGTGTGCGCAAACACTGAGCCGGAGCCTGAAATGGGTCAGGGCAACTTTTTAATGGGGGTTTAATTGGGCCAGAGTGGAGGTGAAGCCCAATGTAAAGATTATAACATCAGATCCACTGAAACAATAATCCAGATCACAAACAGTGTGATCAATAATCCAGATCACAAACACTGAGAACTTATAACAACAGAAGAGCCCGGCTTTAATGTGCTCTGCAGTGGGGGGGGGGGGCAGGACAAAGAGGACTGTAAGAGCATTGTACAGACGGTGAGGCCGACCCGGCACACTGAGGTTCACCGGCGTTTGATTGGAGAAGAAAAGAGGAGGACAAAGATACAACGGGGCGAAGAATCTTCAGATTATTCAGCGACTTTATTTACGGAGTCGGAAACACGAACGCGTCCAGAGATCGTCTGTAAGACGGCGTAAAGTTCCCACGAACCCAAAATAATGTTCAAATGTCCAACAGGAAGTCCTGGTCCAGTATTTGATGACTCATCCTGTCGGGGGCGTTTCCTAATGCTGCGTCCAATCAAACGCCTCCGTTAGCTTACTGTAGAGCTACATTAGAGCTACGTTAGCTTACTGTAGAGCTACATTAGAGCTACATTAGAGCTACATTAGCACGTTAGCTTACTGTAGAGCTACATTAGAGCTACATTAGCTCGTTAGCTTACTGTAGAGCTACATTAGCGCGTTAGCTTACTGTAGAGCTACATTAGAGCTACATTAGCGCGTTAGCTTACTGTAGAGCTACATTAGTGCGTTAGCTTACTGTAGAGCTACATTAGAGCTACATTAGCTCATTAGCTTACTGTAGAGCTACATTAGCGCGTTAGCTTACTGTAGAGCTACATTAGCTAGGATTAGGGTTGGAGCGATAGCTTTAGCTAAAGTAGCTAACTGCTAACTGTATCTGCCGTTAGCGGGCTTCAGAACCGGGCTCAGCAGCCGAACGGGAATCGAACACGGCCTCGGAGACCGTCAGTGAACAACGTTACAGCACCGAGGTCGGTTACAGAGTTTCTGATGGACCGATTGATCGGTAGCTAACCGCTAACTGCCGTTAGCTCGGTCAGCTAAGCTAACTGACTCAGTCCCGGGACGCCGGTACCGAAAACCGCCTCGGTGCTGGAGTTCCTGTCGATCGGTACCTGCGACAGGTCGGTACCTGCGACAGGTCGGTCCCTGCGACAGGTCGGTACCTGCGACAGGTCGGTCCCTGCGACAGGTCGGTACCTGCGACAGGTCGGTACCTGCGACAGGTCGGTACCTGCGACAGGTCGGTACCTGCGACAGGTCGGCACCTGCGACAGGTCGGTACCTGCGACAGGTCGGTCCCTGCGACAGGTCGGTACCTGCGACAGGTCGGTACCTGCTGCCTGATCGAATACGAGGAGACAGAAAAGGATAATCGGGTTGGAGTGCTTTCTGTTTCGTGCTGAAGGGAATCGACCCGAGCACGAGAACATCTGTTTCTGTGAGATTCAGTAACTTTGTCTTTAATTAGGATTATTCAGTATTTGGTGGTTCGATGCCCAGAAAGCGCTGCGAGGGAGTTTAACCTCAGTAATCAATAAATAATGATAATTACTAACATTATCATTAACAGACATTATCAGAAGCATAATAAACATTTCTACTGGACAACCGTTAGCACCAGCAGCAAGTCATAAAGTCATAAAGTCATCAACCAGTTAAACTATCAGTTATTGAACAGCTTCACACATCAGGACGTCCACGTTATCGTCTCTGGAGCTCTAACAGTGAGATTAACTTCCCGATTCACCGGCTGGCATTATAAACTCGGGCACATATATCAGCTTCAGCCGCCGATATAAAAGCTCTCTGCGTTAGCCGACACATCGGAGGACGAGAGGCTGATACGATCAGTGTTATTGGTTGTATTGATTGTTTACAGATAGGGATAGGAACCAGAGTTACACAATAAAAACTAGGGTTGCACCGATATGAACATTTTGGCCGATACCGATATTAATTTTGCTGTTATGGCCGATAACTGATATTTACCGAGATCGATATGTTTCTTAGAAAAGGTTTCTGAGATGATAAAATTTAGTTCGGACTGAAAATCATGCAAACTGAATTTTTGAATGTCTTCCTTTATTTTCAGAACGTATTTTACTTCCAAATAACAAAGTTACAGAGCTACCATAGAACATAAGTAACCAACCTCTACCGCCTATCAAACATGCCAGTATCCATGGCAACATGTTTTCAGCTCTGTAAACTCCAGTTAAACTCAAATCTGTGAAAAAGGCTAAATCAAAATATCCAAAACAAGTCCTGACTGTTAGTGCACGTTTCTTCAACGTGCACTGTAATGTTCCTCGTAGCAAACATGCAGTCGAATGCAGCTGAGCAGTACGGCTCAACATCCTCCATATATCCGTAGAGAAGCTAATGTCAGTCACACTGTCCAACAGTTTGTGGTCACGACTTCGTACCAAGCAGGGAGGGAGACGTCGGTCTGTAGCGGGGTTCAATCTGCTCCATCAACCGATATCCTCGGTCCTCCACTGGGGAAAATGGCTGGTTGTCGAGAGCAATCATTTCCATTACCTTGTTGGTTATTGATCTGGCTTTTGCGCTGTCCTGGGCAGATTCCTTGGTCTGGTCGAGTGCCTGCTGTATCGGGCTCCCGGCTGCAGCTGCTTTTGTTTTTGCCTGCTGGCTAACGTTAGCAGCATTCCTGTAATTGTTTGGTGTAGTTCTGGGTGGCGGGTTTTCAAATGACATATTCAATTTATTGTGTTGAATGACTTGACGCGGCATCCTCCTCGCATTACCTCGACTTTGCAGGTGTTGCATACTGCTTTTAGAGTGTCTTCTTTTGACACCGCTGACATTTTTTCTCCTCTTCAGTTTAACATCCCACAATCCTGTGCTGCCACTGTCGCGTGCCCCAACAAACACACATGGCCAAATCCCCCTCCTCCCTCCTCCCTCTCCCCCCCTCCTCCCTCTCCCGACACACAAACAGCAACTAGAGGATATACATCGGTTGTGGATATCGGCCCAATTTTACTCTTCGGACCGATGCAGATATGTTAAAAAATGACAAACATCGGCCGATACCGATATTAATGGCGATATATCGTGCATCCCGAGTAGAAACATCACACTGACGCTGGTGGGTGGATATTGAACACATTAGTTATAAGTTAAAGTGAGGATGTGACCTCTGTAGGGTCTGTAGTAGCAAACAATGAGGACCTGTACCGTTATTGAACGTGCAGTTAATATGCATTTGTTTATGTATTGTTACATTCTCCTCTTATCACACAGACTGAACACAGAGAGGAGAGGTTATTTTAATGTATTGATCAAGGGTTAATTAATAAAGCTGAATACACACTGACTTACACATTTACATTACTTGCATTATTTAATGAGTGGAGTTGTTGTTGTTGTTGTTGTCAGTTTGGGTTCAGACTCTCGTACAAACGTCTGTTAGAGTGAGTGAATGAAACACTGCAACGATTCCTCCAGTAATGTGATTACTATAATACTCTATACCTCGATCACCAACTCTACACCGTCACTGCTCTACCTCACCCCTCTCCTGTCTCTCTCTCTCTCCTGTCTCTCTCTTAGAGCAATGTTTGAGTGATCAATAACATGGCTGCTGGTTGATTTCTGTTTATTTTAGTGTGTGTGTGAGTGAGTGAGAGGTTTTGTGGTCAGAGAGTTGATCCATCAGAACAGGACTGACTGTTGCATTCAGACACTGCTGAGTGATTGTTTGGGTGCGATCACGACTCTCTCACACACACACACACACACACTCTCTCTCTCACACACACACACACACACACACTCTATCTCTCTCTCTCTCTCCCCCCCCTCTCTCTCTCACACACACACACACACACACACACACACACACACACACACACACACACACACACACACACACTCTCTCTCTCACTCTCACACACACACTCTCTCTCTCTCTCTCTCTCTCTCGCACACACACTCTCTCTCTCACTCTCTCGCACACACACACTCTCTCTCTCTCTCACCACACACACACACTCTCTCTCACTCTCACACACACACACACACACTCCTCTCTCCCAACACACACACACACACACACACACACTCTCTCTCTCACTCTCACACACACACACACTCTCTCTCTCACTCTCTCACACACACACACACACACACACACACACACACTCTCTCACACCCACACACACATGCAGAGACATGAGAAAGGCCGCAGGCTGCCACACACTTACGCATGCATGCACACATTTGCGCACTGAATGCAAACACACAGCTGACACGCAAATCATCATCACTCGCCCTCCCCCCTCCCTCCTGGAAAAACCAGGCCACCGACACGACATCATCATCATCATCATCATCATCAGAGAGGATCTCAGGACAGATGGTGACATCACACCGATACAGCCAATCACATCCTGACCTGAACAACCAGGAGACAAACATCTGCTCCTGAAATCAGACAGACGGAGGAGACAGACAGAGGAGAGACAGACAGAGGAGACAGACAGAGGAGACAGACAGAGGAGACAGAGGAGACAGACAGACAGAGGAGAGAGACAGAGGAGACAGAGGAGACAGACAGACAGAGGAGAGACAGAGGAGACAGACAGAGGAGACAGAACAGAGAGAGAGACAGACAGAGGAGAGAGACAGACAGAGGAGACAGACAGAGGAGACAGACAGACGAGACAGAGGAGACAGACAGACAGAGGAGAAGAGGAGAGAGACAGAC